GAGAGAGAGAGAGAGAGAGAGAGAGAGAGAGAGAGAGAGAGAGAGAGAGAGAGAGAGAGAGAGAGAGACGTACTGTGTGAGTGGGAAGAGAGAATTGTACAGTCTGATCCAGCTCCTTCAATGTCTGCACCCTAGGTAAGCTTGGACGAGGAGGTGCAGCCACCTGCAATGATGAAGCAACACGTGTTTGTTTGAGACCTCACTTTTATGCCCTCGATGGAGTAAATTTTGTGCCTTTCCTTTATTTATCTTAATTTCATTTTTCCAGATGTTACCACTACTCTTCAACATACCTAAATACTATCTTTGAGGACAAGTTGTAGGCGGAGGAGGCTCATGTTTCCAATGATCAAACCAGTTACTGAAAGAGATGCAAGGTCGTCCCAGACAATGGAGCCCTCCTGTTCCACCAGACATCTTCAGATGGCTGCTGATAGTGGAAGTGCAGGTGACATTGCCTGGTGGGGCCATCACATCCATGCTCAACAATCCGGTCGGTGTCATACAGATCATCCATTGATGGAATATTCTGAGAGGGCCAAGAAGGGAAAGCATTAGTGCACTTACAAATCATAAGCTTTGATGCACGAGATACAGGGGAAGTACAAATATAAGGGGGAATATCTATCACATAGCTTGGGCCGAAGGGGTCAGTGCCCACAATATCTCCAACAGCCCAAGGTCCATGGTAGAGAGGAAGAAGTTCCCTGGATACGTCTTCTTCTAGAGCAAGTTCAGACATCTTGACCTTGTTGGACTAAATCCCCAACCTGGAAGTTAGACTGACGACGATTCTTATTAGCCAGTTCAATCACCCGAGCTTGGTTTTCCCTGATCTGTTCCTGAGCATGCCGAAGATCTGATTCGTACTTACGGGCGGTAGTGAGGCCCTCAGACTGCCACTTCGACGGTCCCGCTAATGTGCAAAATGAGAATGAATCTTTGGCTGGAACACGGGAGGGTACACAGCCAAATGCGGCTTGGCCTGCTTGGTGTTGGCAATGTTTTTGTTTTTTTGCTTTTTGCCTCTTCATTCCCCCCACGTCTGCGGCGGGCATCTACTTGTCTCCATAACACGTGGGGCATGACTAGTATTTAACTGCAGCAATTTCCCTTGCCTCGGGGGCGAGACCTTCCATGTGAATTGAAGATTGAGTTGAGATTTATGCTCACGCAGTCTTCCCGACACTGCCCAAAAACAGATGTTCCATGTGCTCTTCTAGGGGTTTATTGAAAACCCGTATGTCATCTAGGTAGACCACGACAAACCTAAGCAGTCCATGAAAACCTTGCTCATTGCATATTGAAAGGTAGCATGTGCATAGTCATCCCGAACAGCATGACGAGGAACTGATACAAGTCCATATCTGGCCTTAAAACTTAAAAGTCATTTTGTGTCGATCTTCAGGATTAACCTCTATTTAGTGGTAGCCGGATTTGAGGTTTATCTTGGAGATGAGCTGGCGGTCCTGCAGTTTATCCAAGAGGCCATCAATGCAAGGTAAGGGCTCCACATTCTTGAGGGTGATTGGGTTCAACCCCCAACAACAGTAGATGAACATCCACAATTCACCTGACTTTTTGGGAACAAAAGAAACAAGCGCTTTATTCTAAGATGTGCTTATCAATAAGCTCTGCGATCTGCTTGTGCAGCTCCTCTAGCTCTGTTGGAGACACTCAATAATCCTAGCTTCTGCCACCTGGTTCCCGATCTCAATCTTGTGCTTGATACCCCAAGGGCCTAGGTTGAATGTCAATGGGTTCATTTTGCACATCTTCAAACTTTTTTTTTTTTTTTTTTTTTTGACTGACTGACAAAAAAAGTCTTCTCATGTGGAACTAGTGCGAAGAAGAATTCCTCCTTTGGATGCTTACTGCATTAGTTATGAAACTTCGAGCAGATAAGCCATTCAAGCTCACTTTAGGAATTAGGTTTTCAGCTACGTGGGCAGGAGGTCAATCCTTCCCTCGTTTTTGGAAGTAATCAATGCCTCCTGCTCCATAGGGGGATGTGGCAGACGTGGTGGAAAGGGGCTTGAGCTCACGGCATAATATACAGATATTCAGAGTTTACAATCACACCCACACAGCATTGGATACGCAGTACAGCATCATCACACATCATTATACAGGGATGATGGACCCGATTTCCAGCAGACACACACCATGTACAGGGATGCTGGACCCGATTTCCAGCAGGTGTAGCTCCCCACCAATAGATGGAGCCTTCAACCCTGGGACCCACTTAATGGGGCTGCTCTTATCACCTCATTAAGTGGGTTTTCCCACATGTGCAAGGAACCCGTATGTTATCACTTGCTGGAATGCGCCAGATATCATACATTCACACACATTGTACAGAATCGCAATAGCTCACACAAAGCTTCAATGAAAGATGAACGAGACCAAGGAACTCAGCTCAAATTATATTAACCAGATTAAGAGAGTCTTCCACAAGTTCAAGATGATCAGCGCTGAACAGGATCACAAGTCTTTTGCCCTCATCAGAGCATGGCGCTTATCAGGTAAGTGTCTCCGAAACTTTCACTCCCCTCTGTCCTTCCTCTCTCTCTCTTGTATGTCTTTTCTCTCTCCCTTTATCCCAATGCAGTAGCCCTGGTCTTCCTTCTACTCACACATCATCTACGCACACTCCCTAACACATGAGGATCTACCCTGAATACCACTCACTGATGTACTAACTCTATCACTTTTACTACTAACGCAGGCTGGCGCAGCTATGGGTGCTTCAGCAAGCCAGCGCCCAGCATCTCTCTTCTTTGCGCAGCATCAAGCCAGCGCTCTCTCTCTGCATGCTAGCGCACAAGTGCCTACAGCACTTCCGCGCATCCGTGCTACTGGAGATCCGTCTTGTGGGAGGCTGGTCTGCTCCTTTATACTAATGGCATGGCCTTGCGAGGCCTGAATCAGCCTCCCTTGGGACTCTTTTCCCTGTCCCAGGCTGTGTAGAGTGTGTCCCAGTACCTTTCCCTCAAGGTCTGCTGCTGCTGCGGCCTTCAGGCCTGAATTTCGGACTTGGGGCCTGTATCTAGACTCTCCCTCCGACTTAATTCGTGACTGGGACTTAACCTTTTGACTTCTGTTTGAAAGGCACACCTACTGCCCGAACAGACACACATTCTGTACGAACAGACACACATACTGCACGTACAGACACATCTCTTTTATGAACAGACATGACTTGCACACCCCCTGGATGAACAGACGTGACTCCCATATCTGAATATTGCAACTGTTCGTCCAGGGGCACAACTGTGGCCTTTGACATTGACTTTTACTTAACTAGGATGTGACTTTTGACCCAGAGAACATGTCCTTTGATCTGCTTTCACGAGTTGGGCCCTGGGCGAGTGACCCCACTATGCTGCATTCGTCAAACAGGGTCTGAATCCGGTAAAGGCCCTTTTACATGTGAAGTTCGTATTAAAAAAAAGAATAAAAAAAAAGAATAAAAAAAAAGAAAGACAACAACGAAGATCCTTGGTAGCCAAAAGGCATTGTTGATATATAGTATATACCCTTGATGTGTCGCGACTTTACAACAGGTGTGTAGTCCATTCCATATCTGTTGGTCAGCCTCAACCATTTGACGCCAAGGACCAGGTCATAAGGCAACCCAGGGAAGACTCCGAGAGATTGAACACAAAGCAACAATGTAGTTGGAGGATGAATGTTGCAGTGTAACCACATCGTCAAGAGCACGAAAATAAATCATGCTACAAACCTCCTCCAAGCTACTCAGTCTGCATTATGGGTGTCCGCTCAACTTACTTAAATATTAGCCCGCCCTTGTCAAAGGCGATTTGTATCCCTCTGACGACCTAACTTTTTTTTTTTTTTTTTTTTTTTTGAAAAGAGGCTTCATCTATTGGTGGGGAGCATCACCTGCTGGAAAACGGGCCCAGCGTCCCATATATGTGCAGAATTTAGAGAACATCCGAAAGGGTTGTAGGAGATTTCCGCCGGCATTGATTGCCCTGGATTCCAGGGGATTGACTGAGCGGGACCTTGGAAGACAGGGGGAAAGCCTCCCCTCTATGCACCGGATTCAGAACATCTCAGAACAAAACAAAAACGGGGAAGTCGTGCCAGCATTGATTGCCCTGGGGTCCAGGGGATTGACTGAGCAGGATGATGGGGTGGGGGGGGGGGCTCTTCACCCTAGAACAGGGACCAGATACCTGCTACTGCGCACTGGTCCCTCCCGCCCCTACATTTGTGGAATCCTGCTGTTGGCCCGCTCACACCGCTCCGTACCATTGCATGTCCACCATGGTCAGCTGATGGGGAGGGAAGGGATCGGGAAATTCCGAAGGCGGCCGCAACGGGATCCTTCTCTGACGCAAATATGATAGTCTCTCTTGATCGACTCGTGGTTGCCTCCCTCGTGTGTGCATTCCACAATTTTTTTTATTTTTTTTTCCCCACAATCTTTTCATCTCCAGGTTTGGTTCTTTGGCTGTTCGATTTCTAGGACGACCTTGACATTGTGGCCAAGATGGAGCTAACACTTTTTTTGTTTTTTTGGTTTGAAAAGCCACATCCTTGCTAGGAGAGGTAATGCATGGTGCATGGAAAGACGAATTACTGAATGGCTCCACATTCAAGCCGAGCCTCAGCACACGGCCTGTGTTGACAAGGACATTGAAGAAGATGTCATTGAGTTCAATGTTGGTGTGTTTATCTCTTGCTCCACATATGAGTAGCTTGTATCACGCCCCTAGTGACGTCGTCCTGGCTTTTCAAAAAAAAAAAAAAAAAAAGTGAGCTTCTATCTCTTGCTACACATATGAGTAGCCTATAGAGGGAACGGCTTGAGTAGGCACTTGGTCAGTGTCAGGCTCAACCTCCATATTTAAAGTTGGGGCAGTTTCAGCCGCGAGGAAAACTACCGGCCTCGATACTTCAACAACTTGGGACAGCTTTGGACTTGGGCAATGGAGATCCACTTTAGGATTCCTAAGTTTGGCAATGGAGATAGACTGTAGGATTCTCACTAACCCACTTTCTACATTGTAGGTTGCTGATTTGCAACGACTCCCAGGGCTTCGTATCTTCCTACGTAGAGAATTTAGAGACGTCAAAAAAACAAGGGCATCCGTCTGTGGCTTTCTTCTTGGGAGCCCTTCTTTCTAGGTGTCC